TACTTTGGCCATCTAATGAGAAGAAAAGACTCCCTGGGAAAGACCCTGATGTTGGGAAAATGTGATGGCAAGAGGAGAAGGGGACGACCGAGGATGAGATGGCTGGACAGTGTCTGCGAAGCAACCAACATGAACCTGACACAACTCCGGGAGGCAGTAGAAGACAGGAGGGCCTGGCGTGCTCTGGTCCATGGGGTCACGAAGAGTCGGACACGACTAAACGACTAAACACACACACACAGAGAACCCCTCCAATTGCCCAGCATCCCTCTGTATAACAATATCTACTTGGGAGTAAGAATTCCCTCTTTTCATTCACAATCTCATGCTCATCATTTTTAACTAGAAACACCAGTTTGGTTAAGCAATCATATCAAAATATGCTTTGTGCCACACTAGTTAATAACCAAAACCATGTTTTGAATTTCCAAATATACAAGCAAGTCATGGCTTTGCGCTGTTTCTGTGTTTTCCATCTGCATGTTTTCTTAAAGCACTGGCCTTCAGAAACCACACCAAACTATAATTCTGCCCCATCTGTTTAGACATCAAAATACACACTATTTCGCATACACTAAGTTTGGCAAAGTTACTTTAAACCACAGCTTCTGATTCTGGTCTGTTTGCAAGCCAGTCATAAATCATGATCGGTCTACTTAGAGGCCACATGAAACTCTGTAGTCCCTAATCCCTAAACCTTGTGCTCAAAACAAATCTTTTTTTTTTCTATGCATGTCTGTTCAGCCTCCCTAAAGACAATTAAATCCTGGAGAAGCCAATCACAGGTAGCTTCCTTCCCCCTCCTTTCCCACCTCCAGCTTTCAGCTGGGCTTACACTGCATAGCTGAAGGAAAGCACATTCTGGCTTCTGTTGTTCACAGCGAACTACAGGCTACAGGAAGTTACATCCCCTGCCACCTAGGAAGAACATTACAGTATAAGGGAAAACATGCCTAGCTTCATCCTACATCCCCTGCCACCTAGGAAGAACATTATTACAGTATAAGGGAAAACATGCCTGGCTTCATCAACTGAGCGAGCAAGGAGTGGTTATACCCAGCTTGCACATTCATTCCTAGCCAGAGCTAAAGGGCTCTGTTTCCAGGTTACTGTTGGACTGTGTAATAAAAGGAGAAATCATTTTGGCTCCATTGACTGGTCCCTAGGTTTATGGTAGGGAAAAGGGAGAATTTAGTGTTAGTTTTTATCAGAAATTTACCAAAACTTGCAAATCTGTTCATACACAGAAGAGGAAGATAGTTGGAGGCATGAGGAATGAATTGGGACAAACCAAAACTTAAGAATTCATCCATGTATCATCCTTAACTCTTGTCTAGGCTTGAATCCCTTTGTATATTAGTTCTGTCTGAATCTGCCACTGAAAGGCATCTTGTTTTCAACATGTATGTGGCAGGCAGCTACAAGAAACAAAAAAAAATCAGCATCGAGAAGGTGAAACAGATGGATTCCTTCAACATTAAGCCAAGAGCTGGGGTGGTGTATGAAGTCTTTTGTGTTGGCTTTGTCCAATTACAAACAGTTAACGGACACCTTGAAAAATAATTGGGCTTGGGGTGGGGTATAAATCATGAAAATAAACATAACCATTAAATAAAATGTCTCAACAGGGCCTCTAAAGATTAAATGAGAACCTCCGAAAGAAAACAAGGCCGTCAAAGTGCGTACTGTTCAGAAAAGACTCATGATGATATATCTGTCGTCCTGATGGAAACAAGCAAACGTTCCTGCAAGGCATAATTTAAATCAATTCCTATCACTGCTGCTTACAGCTCAAATGTGGAAATTGGAAGGAGAGTGGTTTGCAAAGCTCTTGTCCAAACTCACAGAGCTGACTGAACAAACACAGAAAAGTGAATACAAGAGGCTGCAGCCAGAATGACACGTGTTAATTGGAGCATTGGCAACTTTAGCTGTGGGTTTTCCACACTGTTGGGAGGCTGTAGTAATTGACACCTTTTGTCCTTTTCTAACTTTACAATTCTATGACTATTAAAACACAGTCATAAGGATATTTCCAGATCTCTTTAGAAAAGAGAAAGGGCAGTGATTTTGTTACAGTGGAACATTTGTAGCTCCACAAATTCATCTTAAGACTGTAACCGAAAACTTGAGCATGGCTTGAACCTTAGCCACCCGTTTTTCTTCACCAACTCCCTTTTGCTTTCTTTTCACATCTTCCCTCGTGAATAGCTCTGGAGAATTTGAAAAGTTGTACAGTACCTTGACATCTTTGCGGCAGCCAAATAAAAGTATTACCCTAATATTAGATTTTGGAACGTAACCCCAGGGGCACTTCCAAAGCAGTGGAAATCTTTTGAAATGCATCTCAAACTTCTAAAGAGATTGCACATCTTAAAGAAGAAATATATCTAAAAATTTTGCCACATCAACAAAGCATTGACATTACAATTCAGAAACTTTGTCCTAGACAAGAAATGGCTGATTCCTTGCAGCAGGCTGGCAAGGGCCAAACTTGCTGGCTTAACACAAAGACCCTGACAGTTCTGAGGTCTCATCTAGTTTTCTTCCTAGGCTGCTTCCCTGGACATGACCTATATGATGGTGCATAGGTCTGAGAAGCTGCCCACCATCTTCAGTTTCCCATAATACTTGAAACAATAAGAGCGCTTCAGTTCCGAGACAACTTCACATGGTTGCTGGCTTAACACAAAGACCCTGACAGTTTTGAGGTCTCATCTAGTTTTCTTCCTAGGCTGCTTCCCTGGACATGACCTATATGATGGTGCATAGGTCTGAGAAGCTGCCCACCATCTTCAGTTTCCCATAATACTTGAAACAATAAGAGCGCTTCAGTTCCGAGACAACTTCACATGGTTGGCACTCTACTAGGTGGAGCTGCTGTCAGGTCTCATCTAGTTTTCTTCCTAGGCTGCTTCCCTGGACATGACCTATATGATGGTGCATAGGTCTGAGACAACTTCACATGGTGGGCACTCTACTAGGTGGAGCTGCTGTCAGGTATAAATTCACAGATGAGTGCAAGGCTGTTGAGGGACACCATGCAGGTTTCCTCAGTACTGGTGCCTATAGACATAATAAGATTTCTGCAAAGATAATGAGTTGTTATTTTCAGACTAAGTCTGGTTGACGCCACATTGCTTTGTTCAGATAATTGCAGTGAATTAATAAGAAGCCTTGAGTAATGTCAAACCAGATGCAAATGCTACTAACGTATTCTCAGACTCAGTGCTAAATAAATAGCTGACAGGAAGGAAGACTGAACAAAGATGGATGGACAGATGATGGCCACAGAGCTAGGATGATGGACCTCAACAGCCCAGTTTGAGCATTCTTTATTTCATATGCTTGACACAGTACAGAGGCTAGCAGGTATGCACTGAATCTCCCCCTCCATTTCCCATGATTACTTTAACCCAATGTGGGTAGTGAGAGCTGTAACTAACAATTTTGGCACCACAAAATGCACCTCCAAATCAACTTTATAATTGATGATGAGAAAAATAATACAAGAAGTAATTACAGCGTGAACACCTTGCCAGCATCCTCCCACCGCCATCCTACACAGGGGATCAGCAGCACTGCCGGAGCTACAAAGATGAATCAAATATGTGTTCTCTGTTTGCAACTCACTATGCTAAGCAAGATTTCAACCACTCTCTCTCTCTCTCTCATATATATATATATATATAAATAAGCTGACTTTCTGTACTGTCCAGACCTAGTTTCAAGAACAGATTATCCTCCAACAGGAAAGGCCTGGTGTGTCCATGTTCTGTTTAGACCACCCTTCCATCTGCAGGTCCTTTCTTCTTCCAAGCCCAGGTCTCCTAAGTCCTGGTCAGAGGGCTGCTTTATTGAGCCTTGGGTAGGCCTCTCCACTACTGCCTTAGCTGGGCCTGGTATGCTGACCACCTTTGCTCTCTCCTGGTGGCTTGGTGTCCCAGTTGCACTGTCCTCAGAGAATCAGTTAGTGGCCTGACCTATGTCATCTTTTCCTATGGCAGTAGACCAGACTGCTTGGTAAATCTTGAAGTCTAGAGGCAGGGAGGCATTGTTTAAATCTAACAGACTAGGGCAAAACCCTGCTTGCCCTATACTAATTCCCACTGTGTACGTAGGCTACGTATCTGAGCTGTGATCATTCATCATCAGAGCTCCAGCTGCTGGAGGTGGCCTATATTCCTGCATGTCCCCAATGCAGGGACAGTGTAGGTGTGTGTGTGGGGTGTTCTCAGAGAACATGTTCTCAGGGAACATGATGGGAAGGGCTATATTAGTAGCCCTGCTCTCTCTACATGTGGCATTAATTGCATGGAGAAAGAATACCAGAATAAAGTTAAACTGAGACTACCATAAATTATAGATTTGTATTGGTGCCTTCCATATTTACATCCTTTCTCTAAAATCATGGTTCTCAAAGAGAAAGACAGCCTTCCTGGGAAAGAAGAGTTCCCAATATTCACATGTGTCCTAAATCCAATGCAGCAAGATTTACATCCCGACATGCCTCTTGCTCATCAGAAAAGCTCCTTTGTCTGTTTATCACAGAAATTGAATTTCCTTGGGAACATGATCCCTGGAATTTCAAGTATGCTATGTTTGGTTTACGAGTTCCAGTTGGTATAATTTGGTGTCTCTTCTTGGCCTAAGTTCAAAGTGGAGCTATTGTTGTTGTTTTTTTTTGGGGGGGGAGTGTTTCTTATTTTACTTGGCAAGGCCAAGCTATGCCACCTATCAGCCATGAAGTATTTGTTCTAGTAGACAAAATACTGAACTACATTAGCTTCTAAGTATGGCCCAGAAACATTTATAAGAACTCTAACACCTAGAAAAATGAAGAATGCAGCTTTCCCTTAGAATGGAGCTGTGTTAACCTGTTTCGCAGCGTGCCCTGTGATGTAAACGCCTTACTCCATTTTTTAAAATGTAAGAACTGCTGCATTTTGTTTTGTTTTTGCAGAAACTCACAAATCCCAACACATGTGGCCAGTCACACAATGGGACAAGTAAGCTGTTGTCTTTTCCCCCCCATTGAAAACAAGATGGATGTCTTCAAGGTGTCATGTCTGTCCATAGATGTTACCTTTGTGAAAATACATCTCTGTAGGGGCTTCCATGTTGGAGGGCAATCCCATACCCCCGATCTGCTATAGTGTTTCCAACAGTGTAGAAAGAACAATCGGGATCATTCAGTGCAACATATTCCAAAACTGCTGCATCCCATACGAAAGCATAATTTCCATGCTTGACCTGGAAACAAAAAAGAAAAGCAGTGACTAAGATTTCATTCTGAAGGCCCCCCTAAAAGAAGTAGCTGTGAACAGAAAAGTTGTCCTTTGAAGATTACTTGGGGTGGGTAGGAGCAAATATTCTTCTAGTGCCATTTTTATGGCATATAAATATGAGAGAATATCTTGCTAGAAGCTCCTATAATCCATAAAAGTAGAGGGATATATCTTTTTTTTTTACCCATTATTCTATTGGTTTCATTTATGTTCCATCTTTCTCAAGAAGAGTTATTGAGAGAAGGGGAGGGGTCTTTTATCGAGGCATTGATCAGATTTAGATCTGCTTGCTTTCCACAAGGTCGCTCATTTGTCTACTCTCAGACCATATTAGGGGACCACAGGAAGAATATTACCATGATTGTTTATGTTCACAAGGACAACGTCAAGGACTTCTAGTGGTAGAATATGAGAATATTAAACCAGGGAATTAGAATGCTTCCATATTGAAAGGGCCCAAGGGCTCAGCTTCAGGATGACCGTCAAAAACCAGAAGTCCCCATGACAAGTTCTCTTTCATTTCCATAAGGTCTGCCTAGCTCATGTTTATTCAACATCATGGTTTTCATACATATATGTGCCTATTGTTTGAAGACTGAAGAAGAACACATTAAAACAACACCAGAATTCTAAATGTTAAGGAATCTTACTGTTGCTATCATGATTCTAATTTAGTCTGACCATCTTGGCTTGGCAATGACACCCTTCCCCCAGAGAGGCTTTGGATCTGAGGCAGGGCTGAGATTACTGGAGGAAAGTCACTATGGGTTTCGCAATTTGTGCAAAGATAATTTGCACCAAATTAGTTTCTATACAAAACCAGTGTTTTTTTTCCTTTGAGCACAAAACAACAGGGCCATCCAGTGCTACGACCTTTACTCGTTCTTGCAACAAAGTAAAAATTGTCATATCCTGTACAGCACATTTTGTAGAATTTTTTAAAAGAAACTGGAAACATCTTAGCAAAATGATGACCGCAAGTTCTCTGCAACCATCAACAACTACCTGGAGAACATTTGGGGGTGAAATGTTCCTGTTTATCAGCTGGGTGGACAGTTGAGGCACCAGGTAATGCAAAAGTGGTTCCTCGCCAGTTTGTGTGGTTTTGGACATCCTACACAGTCCCAAAGTGCCCTCAGAAGAAGGTACTGGTAAACTATCCTGGGTAGTCTTTACTTTGACAATCTTGGAAAGTGTTGCCATAAGTTGGAATCATTTTCACAGCATATAATTGTTATACTGTATTCTTATTTCCTGTTTACTACTCAAAAATGAAACAAGTCAGCATACACGTCCCTAAACATGTAAGATATATATTGAACTAGACATTGCAAGGAGACAAAGAAGGTCCAGTTTTAACAGCAGCTGACTGTTCTAAAGGTAATTTTGCTTTTAGGATCAAAATGAAAATCCCACTGGAAAGCTATAGAAAAGTGAGCAGACTTGCTGACATTCAACTCTGGAACACCTTGCATCTTCTCTGTACCTTCTATTCCCTAGCTCTCTGTATGTAAGTTCTGGTCTTCCATTCAGTGAATTCATCAACTGAGATTGCCAGCTTGATTCTCTGCCTGTTTGCTAGCTGCCTGGAGAGGTCCTGTTGCTTTCTCTCACTGGTCCTGCACAGCCCTTCTCTTTTAATACTCCAACCAATTACACTGTCTCCAAAGGAAAGCTGCAGCAAATTCATTACATGCACAGAGTCAACAAGGAATAAATATGTAACAGCTAAGTAAAAAAAAATAAACAACACAAAACAGGCTGCCTGGAGCTAGCCAAACCAAAACAACAACAACAAAAAACCCACACAAAATATGACATGGAATTATATTTTATCATTTTATCACTCAGATATTCTCTTTGATGTTATAGATGATATTTGCAAAAATCTATTTACATGCAGGAGTTACTGAAGCGCACTAGGTCAGCTCTTCATTTCTGAGATGTACTGGAGAGGATGTGTTCTTGTTTGGGATCCATTATCTCCTCGCACCCAAAAGTATAATCTATCTTTTCCGGAGTAAACAAAGCAAGCCGGGAGAGAAACAAGGTTTTCTTTATGCTCCTTTGTTGCTGAAGAAGTATTTTTGAGAGAAGATTTAGGAGGAGATGCAAGGGGAGTATGGCTTTTGCGGTCACCACCCTCCGGATTCACATTCTACATGTATTTAGCGGCAGGCTGAATTCTAATGCTAAGAATCTGTATATTGCAGCTGAAGACAGACTTAGATACTTACCAATATATTTATTTACCACATTTAAACCTGGACTTTCCACTAAAAAAAATTTAGTGTTCAAAGTGGCTTGCAAACTTTTTAAAAGAATAAAAACAGGCAAAACCATATTTAACTACCCCACCACCACAAATCATGTCAACCCCACTGTAAAAAATATATATATTAAAATAACCAAATGTACTAAAACATTAGCCGGATTAGATCTCATATGCCAATCTAAAGAGATATATTTATTCCCTTCTTAAAATCAGTCAGAGTGAAACATCTCAGAGCTCTGAAGGTAGTACATTTCCCAGCCACACAGAAGAAGGCCCTTTCCTGCATGCTTGTTAAGCAGGCCTCTGACATGTATGTTCACATTTTAAGAGGGCCTCTGCAGAAGATGTTAACATCTGGAGAGACTCATAAAGAAACAAGGAGTCCCCTAGATAGCCAGACTCCAGCTTTAAAGGCTCAAACCAACACCATGGATTGGGCCCTGTAGCACCCAGGTCTTTCAGTACTGGGGGTCAGGCAGTCATAATACTATTCACTAGATAGTAGCCTAGCTGCTATATGTTGCACCAACCAAAGATTCAGGGCTTTTTTCAAGGGTAGCTCCACAAAGAGTGTGTTGCAGTACTCTTATCCAGTCTGTGTTCTCATTTTCCCTACTACACTCCTTCAACAACTGTTGGAGATTCTGAATCAGAACATAAGCCATATCTATAACTTTGCAATCCCTAGTTCAAAGTCACAGCTTGGAAAAGTGCTTGGATGACTACTCCCAGAGAACCCCACTGAGCTGTGGGTTCCTGAGGACTATAAGTCCAAAAAAGTAGGTTTCCCACGATCTGTTTAAAAATGTCACTTTATCTTGTGATGCCAAGAAAGGTCCCATGCATCTGCAAAACATCTGTGAGCCACTAAAGGATGCATCTGCAAAACATCTGTGAGCCACTAGGGGGAAACTGGAAGGATAGATCCTGAAGCTAAGGCTCCGATACTTTGGTCATCTCATGAGAAGAGAAGACTCCCTGGAAAAGATCCTGATGCTGGGAAAGTTTGAGGGCAAGAGGAGAAGGGGATGACAGAGGACGAGATGGTTGGACAGTGTCAACGAAGCTACCAACACGAATTTGACCCAACTCCGGGAGGCAGTGGAAGACAGGAGGGCCTAGCATGCTTTGGTCCATGGGGTCACGAAGAGTCGGACATGGCTTAACGACTAAACAACAACAGGGGGCAACAGAGGTACGGTCAGGGATGTAAGACTCTGGTGCATGCCCTCTTTATATTACCTACCCTACTGCTTCTTCATCTTGCTGACAGATACTTGATATGACTTCCATTCTTTTCATACTTCATCTTCTTCCCTCATCTCTTTTTCCTTCAATTGCTTAGAAATAGTCAGAAGACTCTGTATCCTCTTTTTTTTAACCAATTACACTTCATTTCAATAAACCTTCCTCTTCAAATCTGTTAACATAAACAGCTTGTGATCAAGAGAAAGCTCTCCTTCATATCTTGACCCAGTCTGCTTTGAGCTATGACTCAGTGATCACATGTTGCAGGGCAAAAGTATTCCAGCCCAATCCTGATCCATGCCAAAGTTGAACCTTTTGGTCTACTGGCAGGGCTACTCATTGTTCAGGCTTAGCTGGAGAAATTCCCCAATGGACAGAAAGTTTTCTTTAAGGAACATCACTCTCAGCAAAGCACCCCTTTCTGGTGCAATCAGATGCAATCCTCATTGTCTGATCACACCAGCCATCTGTGTCTTTCTGTAGTATATGTGTGTGTGTAAGAAAGAGAAAGGTGGAAACAAACCATTTCTCTCTGTGTTTTGTTTCCTATTTGTGCGTATCATATCTGGCTGCAGAGCCAGAGGTTGGGAGTTCGATTCCCCACTGTGCCTCCTTGACATAGGCTGGACGCATAATCCATAAGGTCCCTTCCATTTCTGCAGTTCTATGATGATGATGATGATATGCTGTAATAGGTGAGGTGATAAGTGATAGCTTGTGGTTTTATTTGAGTTGTCTTTCATAGATGAAGTATTGTTTTTTTGCTCTCAGGAAATCATGGAAGATGATTTCCACTAAACTAAATTGTTTTCAAAAAGTGCATTATTATAGTACATGAAGCAGTTTTGCATATTGTGAACATTGTATCTGAGGGTGCGGTTCCAATGGGCGAAAGAACCACAGTTGAATTGAATTAAGTGTCATTCAAGTTGAATTATAATTTCTCATGCACACAACACACTATTGAAATCAATTTCTTTGGGTTCCAAAGTGATTTTTTCCCCCAACTGACCAGCAGGGGCTTTTAAAAATAAATCAGTTGTAAATCGATTTAAATGCAGTTCAGTGGGTCTGGATGGTGCTATCAATTTACTTTGTGCTCCTGTTTAACATCAGTGTATTGCCACTGCGGTGTCTACTCATTAAAAAAAGAGTTATAATTTTGTTTAGCAATGCATCGGTTACTGCCTTTCAACATTCTCTGCTGAATGGGGCCATCAATTTATTGTTATATCACTTTTTTAAAAAAAGGCAAACAGTAACAAAAAAGGGCTCCTAAAGAAGAATGGAAATGATAAATTTCATCAGTGTAGACTCCAAAACTAGTTTAAATCATCAGAAATAAATCAATTTCCATTCGGTGACTGTGAACCTGGTGGCTGATTTAACTACAAAAGCCTGAACAGAAATTGATTCAAATTGTCCTGAGTCAACTATTGATC